CAATAGTACACGCTATGGCGTTCACCATTTGTTAACTATACACGGCTATACACAGCTATTCACAGCTATACAGGGCTATACACAGCTATACACGGCTATACAAAGCTGAACACAGCTATACAGGGCTATACACAGCTTGAGTGTGATAAATTTTTTTCTATCGAGATCCCCTTACGGGTATCGTAGGTCCGAGAAATTGGCCTATTCCATCAGAAAGGCAGATTGGGAACATCTTCGGATTCTCTTGAATTACATCCCTTGGCACTGTGCTTTTCTTGAAGACAACATCGACCTTGTTTGGTCTGCATGGTCGGATCTACTACTATCGGCTGTCGACGAATGTATTCCAAAACACCAAGTTATAAGATCCACAAATGCACCATGGATTGACAACAACCTTATCAAACTTTGCCGAAAAAAGAAACTAATCTACAAGAGGGCTAAGAAATCGTCTATGGAGTCTGACTGGGTCAATTATCGTAAGTTTAATAATCAGCTAAAAGAGAAATGTAACTCTGCGCGATGGCAGTATATAAACAATTTGACTGAGGAGCTAAAATCGAACACTGGCCCGAAGCCTTTTTGGAATTACGTAAAATCCAAGAGAAAAGGATCAAGCGATCTAGTATCCTTGAAAGTAAACGATAAGTTTCTAAATGACGATATTAGTATTGCAAATGGCATGAACCATTATTTTTTGTCTGTATTTACTGTTGAGGACCAAGCTAACATTCCAGTTTTTGATTACGTTACTAACCAGAAATTATGCAGCATTTATTGTTCCCCTGAAGAGATAAAAAAATGCTGAAAAATTTAAAAATCTATAAATCCCCAGGGCCAGACTGCATATCGCCACGGATTCTGAAAGAATGTAGTCAGGTGTTATCATCTCCGTGAGCGTTACTTTTGAATACATCTTTTTCGCTGGGTCAGTTACCAACAATGTGGAAAAATGCAAATATTACACCGGTGTACAAAAAAGGGAATAGGAATCTTAGAGAGAACTATCGTCAGATTTCACCAACGTGTATTCTATGCAAAATTGCGGAGAAGGTGGTGAGGAATCGAGTCGTTGATTTTTGGTCTGATCAAAATCTTTTCAACCCAGATCAATTCGCGTACCTCAGCGGTAAATCCACTCTATTGCAGTTGTTAGCTTGTTATGATGACTGGGCTAAAGCTAGAAATTGTTGTAAACCTACTGA